AAGGTGTCAGTTCACAGACCTGCAGTCTGATATCACTGATCTGACCTGATAAATTGGAGATTTTGGTATTGGTATCGGAAATTCCAGGATCTACTGACTTATTGTTTTTTAAGTCCCTTAACTCGGCCTTAAGTTCTCCTATAGACAACTTTAGAAGTTCTATTTCAGAAGATAGTATTGAAACAGAGCTTGAAGGCTGGAGCTTTTCGATAAGCACATAAGGTGTAGGGAGGGTTTCTGTATGAGCAGAGGGTACTGAATTTTTGGGAGTAGTGCTAATACTAGCTGTCAGTGCAGTTTTATCCTCAGTTTCAGCTCGACGCTTACGACATACAAGTGAGTTTTGTGGCTCACTATAACCATTTGTAGGAAGTATGTTGCTTGATGTAGCAATCAACGACTTAAAATTAGTCATCAGTTTTACAGGGGATTGAGTTCGCTGCTTTTTACTTTGGTTAACCATAACTATTTGATATGAGAGTTAATAGTTATAGGTATGGAAGTAGTAGAGGACTTGTGCAAGGATTACAACAAGATAAATTTTATGTAACGAATCACGCAAAAATGTAACGCAAACGTTGGACGTACCCCGATACACCAAGTGTAGAAGCCTTAGAACTTAAAATCGACGTGCTCACCGAGCAATTAATGACAATGAGGGTTAATAGACAACCTACCACAACGTACAGAAAACAGCGTAGCCACTCACGCAATATGCGTAAATATAGCTTACAACAGACTATATGCTGGTATCATCGCAAATTTGGTGTACACGCAAAACGGTGCACACAACCGTGTGCTTTCCAACAAACGGTGGCGTTGGGAAACGAAAAGGCCGGCGGTCGGTGACGACTGCGGTCGCTGGCCAACACACGTCCCACAGCCGTCTATTCAGGGTGACAGACAAAACAACAGGGGCACAATTCCTGGTAGATACCGGTGCAGAAATTAGTGTAGTTCCCCCAACACCCAACGAACGCTTACAACCAAACCCAGCATTAGTTCTCAAGGCTGAGAACAATTCTACCATAAAAACGTTTGGAACTCGGAGACAAAAGCTTAATTTTGGTTGCGGTACACCATTTGAGTGGGAGTTCGTAGTCGCCGACGTAACTTTTCCTTTCATTGGAATGGATTTTCTTCAACACTACGAATTGCTCATCGACTCTGGTCACCACAGATTGATAGATAGCAGTCGTAAAATATCGATTTCAGGCATCTCCACAGATGTCGAGAGTATCCGCTTGATGGTAGCCACAACAGATCAATTATCCAGGTACGATATTTTGCTGAAGAAATTTCCTGAACTGACACAGAGCGATTACTCCACAGCCTCTCTCAAACACAACGTAACACACCATATCGTAACTAAAGGTCCACCGGTCTCAGCAAAACCACATCATTTAGATCCAGCTAAAATGCACATAGCAAAAGCAGAGTTCAACAGATTATTGGATCTAGGAATAATACGACCGTCAAACAGCCCATGGTCATCACCACTGCATATGGTACCAAAGAAAAACTCAACAGAGATACGACCTTGTGGAGATTACCGAGCTTTAAATAAGCAGACGATAGCAGATAGATACCCAATTCCGCACATCCTCGATTTTTTCCATAACATGGCAGGTGCTCAGATATTTTCCAAAATTGACCTCGTTCGTGCATACTGCCATATACCGGTCGAGCCCAAGGACATCCCCCAAAACGGCGGTAACCACTCCTTTTGGCTTATTCGAGTTCGTCCGCCTACCATTTGGCTTGAATAACGCAGCGCAAACATTTCAGAGATTCATTGACCAGGTATTGCACGGCCTCCCATTCACTTACGCTCATATAGATGATATTCTGGTTACAAGTAAATCCCCTGAGGAGCACCAACATCACTTAGAAACACTCTTTAAACGTTTAGCCGAATATGGAGTTGTCATTAAACCAAGTAAATGTGAATTCGGTAAGAAAACTATAAAATTTTTGGGAAATCAGGTAGACAATCAAGGTATTCGACCAATAGCAGAACAGCTGCAAGTCATAAAAGAATACCCGATCCCAGATTCCTTCAAAAAGTTACACAGATTTCTTGGTCTCGCCAATTTTTATCGCCGTTTCATTCCTCACTGTGCACAGCTGGCCCAACCTCTGAAAGATCTACTAAAAGGTCATGCAAAATCGCTGCACATGAGTACTTCAGCAATCGAGGCATTTGAAAAGCTGAAATAAACTCTAAGCTCAGAAACTTTACTAGTACGTCGCGATGTCAACGCTCCTATAGGTATTATGACAGATGCATCAGACGTCACCGTCGGCGCAGTTCTTCGTCAATTTTCTGATGGAAAATGGCAACCTCTCGCCTTTTTCTCCAAACGTCTAGACGCCACTCAATCAAGATATAGTGCATTCAGTAGAGAATTACTAGCAGTCTATCTCGCTGTTAAACATTTTCGTCATATGGTAGAAGGAATACCGTTTACCATCTACACAGACCACAAACCTTTAACCAAGGCCATGAATGCAAAGCACGACAAGTACTCGCCAAGAGGACTCCGACACCTCGAGTTCATTTCTCAGTTCACTTCAGATATTAGATTCATCTAAGGACATAAAAACGAGGTAGCAGATGCGTTATCCCGCATCCATATAAATACCTTAGAAAAAAACCAGTTTGATCTTAAAAATATGGCTAGACTGCAAACTATGGACGAGGATCTGAAAAGAATAAAAAATAGCACGAGTACTTCCTTACGTTTGCAAGATGTTATGCTTGATGAAGGCCTAACTATTACGTGTGATGTTTCCAAAGGTAAACCGCGCCCTTTTGTCCCACTAGAAATGCGAAGATCAGTTTTTCCAAAATACATGGCATTTCTCACCCTGGCATCCGAGCAACAGTTAAACTGATAAGTGACCGATATGTATGGCCGAATATAAATCGAGAGATTAAACAGTGGACCAGATCATGTTTAGCCTGCCAAAAGTCAAAAGTACAACGACATACAGTTTCCAGAACCTGATGGTAGGTTCCAACACATACATATTGACATCGTTGGACCGTTACCACCATCTAATGGCTTTACGTACATTTTAACGTGTATTGACAGATTTACGAGATGGCCAGTAGCTTGTCCCTTACCTGATATTTCTGCTGAAACTGTTGCAAAGAGCATCATACAAAATTGGATTTCCAACTTCGGAGTGCCCAGCATTATTACCACAGACAGAGGTGCCCAATTCGAGAGCCATTTATTCCAACAACTCACAGAACTACTGGGAATCAAACGTTTACGTACTACTGCATATCATCCCAGTTCAAACAGCTTAGTGGAGAGATTTCATCGTCAACTGAAAGCATCATTAATGGCAGTGAAGGACGATGATAAGTGGAGCGATAAATTACCACTTGTACTTCTTGGGATACGTTCGACAATAAAACAAGATATCAAACGTTGTCCAGCAGAATTAGTTTATGGAACTACTTTACGACTACTGCCACTGAAATTCCAGCTGACGAAACTACTTTTGTGCAACAACTGAGACAACATATGAGCCTTTTAAGATATCACCCGCCGCGACATCAGCCCAACCAAGCATACATGCCTGAAAAACTAGAAAATTGCACGCATGTTTTCATACGACACGACAGTGTAAGGAAACCACTTCAACCACTTTATGACGGACCATTCAAAGTACATTCAAAGAACAAGCAAAATCATCACTGTCGAACGCGGAGGAAAACACGAGAATGTAAGCATCGATCGCGTAAAACCAGCTTTCATGGAAACAGAGGTGACTGAATGTTTACCCAAATCAACATCATCTCAAGATTAAAAACCTGATGATATTCCGGCTAACAATATCATTCCGAATACAGGTAAACTTCATTTACCTGCATTCTACGGAGGGACTATTGTAGTGACCCATTTTATTACTCATCATCATACTATACTTTCATTGTGTAATTGTACTTTGATTTGTTTATTATTATTACTCTAAATCTTGCGTGTTAACAATTGAAACATTTTTGTACTCGCTCAACTTTTGAATTTTGATTACGGCGGGAATACACATTCCTACACCACAAGTGTCTTCTGATTTACGTTGTGTGTCGAGTAAGCACAACGTTAGGACACAATTATAAACGAGAAGAAGTATTAGGGCACTTCTTGTTGTTAGAACATTTGTCACGGAGTTTCTTCCGTATAAATAAACAGCGTTTTTTAAAGCATCTATGAATCAAGTATAGGCAGTCTATGATTTTAAAATAATTGTGATTTCTTTTCCATTTTGTATTTTAGCACAAAAAGTCCACAAACAAACATATTGGTATCTAAACCAATGGAACGTAGACGTTCTACTAAAAGAGCTGCTCCAAGGAAATCTGAGCCTGCTCCCGAAGAAAGGTAGCCACTTTCAATGAAATAAAATAAATACCTTTTAGGTTTTTCGTTAACCCATCATCTATCAGCCCGCATCTCTTCTGTCCTATATGCCAGGAGGCATTTTCTAATCCTCAACGTGCACCATGCGGCCACTCATTTTGCAAAAGTGTAAGTGTTAAGTGTCTAAATATCACTTTACCTAATAATGTATATTTGTTTATACAACGGCTGTATTTGGTTGTTGGTAACTAGCAGTATAATCGAGGATGCACATTTTCTCCTGTATGGGACTCATCAACTAAGAGTGCTCGTAGTAGGTAACAACGTGCTTACAGAGACTGCACTTTTTAGAGCCTTGAGATCTAGTGCGTTTCGAGGGTATAGTATCAATAAATATACGTGAATAACATTGCAGGGTGACTAGGATAATTTGATACATTATATATACCTTTCGGCAGAATAGTACTGACAGTAGTAGGGAAGCAAAAGGATGGGGATGGGGTGACAGGGATAAAGGAGAATGATGATCAGGAGGACTTGGTGTGCTTATTATTCTTTTTCCCTCATTCACACTTCTGTTTGTTATCTCTCGTTTGAATTTCTCTTAACTGTCTTCTCTTGCCTTGTGTACTACATGGAGGAAGTGTGGCAACTCGAACTGCTGTACATCTGTGCCAAGTTCTCTGTTGAAACCAGTCAGTGAGTTATTTGTTCTATTAATCTGTAATTCAGTGGGATCTAAAAATTCAAGAGAAATCGAAGAGAATCGGGCTAATCATTACTCGTGTGAAGCACATTCACTTGTCCGCACACCGTAATAATAATAATAATAAATGCCAGTACATGAATGAAAACAAAAGAAATTCTTCATATTGATTTTTTATCCATAAAATGGAAATGTTCATTAAACACACAGGAATGTAGTAAATTTCCTAATATATATAGATTTTTTTGTACTGTATTGTTTTTACCGTCTTTGCTTTTAGTGTATCGACCCGTGGATTCGTGACTCGCCTACCTGTCCGGTTGATCGTTTGCCTATCCCAAAAGGATCGATGCATCATGATTTTATAGTTGAAAATATAATAGGCGATTATAAGGTAAGTTTTTGTACGTTTAGTGAGTACAGACAATGAGAGTATCGTTGGCATTGGTTTATACTCTCTTTTTCAAGTAATCATTTGCTGATACAATGTACAACTGTAGGAATTTATGAGGAAAAAGTAGAAGAAAATTCACTACCTAGGTGCACAAGTGTTTGTAGTCGCGTTACCTACTGATAAAGATGGCCACTGATGCCAACATTGTGATGTCATCGTTTCATTGGGAAATGTGGTAAATTTGATTTTTTTTTAGAATCCAGACTAAACCGATTATATGGTGGAATTAACTGCATTCTATCTCCCGTGTGTGTTGGGTGGTATACTGAAGTGAGGAATATTGAGGTTAGGCTTCGTGTGTTTTTTGGCAACGAGGAAAAGTTATTCGATGAGGTTATGAAGGTATATCGGTTGAGGTAGTTAGAACTTGTATTACGCATGCGCCTAGCCATCGCATTCTTCGACGGGTAATGTTAGCTGACATAGGTTGGATCAGGCAGGAAAAGAGCTAATGGTGGTCAAACTAAAACATGGCTTCATCGGTAAATCAAATCCGCAACAGTTAGTTTAAGCCAGACACGTATGGCGGTGTAGAATGCTTGGTTGGTGGGGGGTCCTTGGGATGGTAAGAACCAATGGTTGGAGAAGATTTTTAATATGGTTCAAAATCGTTCTCAGTGACAGCGCGGATAAATTCACTCTTTGTGATATATCATATCCATTGTCCTTCGTTATTACTGTTCTTTTTCCCTCACCCACACCAGTGTTTACTATCTCTCTTTTGAGCCTCTCTTCTCTTGCTTCGTGTGCTGCATGGAGGAGGGAGTGTGGGAACTCGAACTGCTGTAGATCGGTGCCGAGTTCTATGTTGAATGCAGTCAGTCAGTTAATGTTTCATTTCACTGTTCATTATGCTGTAACTGAATCCCATCTACACCTAGTGTATTACGTGTCGTCAATTGTTTGTTAGAAAATTCCTTGGCGTCCTGATTTGTGAACGCGGGCGGGGGGTTGTAAGCTTGAGGCTTTTATATTTTGAAGTAGCCGTATTCTTATTCTTTCTATTCATCTATTTAGTTTATTTTTATTTTCAGGTATCATGTCCTTGGCGTTCTCTAGGATGCGATTTTATCGGTCGCTTGTGCATTTTACCCAGTCATAAAAAAACGTGTCCAATGAATCCTGAACTACTTCCTGCAGAATTACGTAATCGTCTTATGGTTGGTTTACAAAATACAACTACAAACAGAAATCAATCTTCAGACTTGAATTGTTATTCTTATAATGAAAAGCTATCGACAGCTCGACAGGAACCTACCCCTCCTGCAGTCATAAATATCAGCACAAATGATGACAGTAATGAAAGTCATGCATCAACTAGTCATGAGAATAGTGTATTGTCACAGAGTGTTGGTCCCACTCTATATGACACTAGAAATAATGAAAGTGTTGATGAAGATCACCTTTTGCCTGCTCCACCACCTAGCCTGTTGTTTCGATTATATCAGAATTCAGATGAGAATGGTCGCCGTCTATTACTTAACTTTCTACAAAGTGATCAACGTTCCATAATAAATACTGAATCTACTTCTACCAGTGCAGGTAATAAACGACGCCGTAGACAGTGAAATCAATGTGATCCAATCCATTTACAATTTGAATGGCATTTGTGTATTCGTGCATTTAACAATCATTGAGTGTAAATTTCAAATTGAAACTCTTCTCTGGGCAATTTCTCTTGATTTTGAATGTGCACACATGCTGTAAATATACGTGTTGTTTGTAATATAATATATAATATATGTATTCAGGGAACATTTTAAATTTTGTTAACATTTAGAGGTTAAATCAAAGTTTTTATTCAGTGAATAAACTTGTAAATTCAATTTAAGATATGGTGTACTCAAAGAATTTCCCCTTAATTCAACGTCCAAATGTTTCATACCTAAATAGTAATTGATCACTTGGTGGTGGTGGTGGTCAAGATTTGTAAGTTTGGTATATCTTCTTGAACTGTTACAATATTAACAAAAATCAGTGTTCCCACAGTCGATGGTTCAGTGGGAGAATGGTCGTCAACTACGCTGGGCGTCCGTGGTTCGATTCTCGGCCGACGCACTCTTAAACCGAACTAAGCTGGTAGTAAGCCGGGTAAAGAGGGAGGGTAGGGCGTGAGGTTAGCAACCCCACCCCGTAAAAATGCAACAATTGCTATCGTAACTTTAAAGCTCTAGCTTCAAGCCGTATGTTCCATTGGGAACGCAAAGGAGTAAAATTTAAAGAAACAATCGTGTCTACCCTGATCTTCTCAGGTGAACTGTCAGAAACAATTGTAAAGTTCGTTATCTGTGAGAAACACATGACATTTCCAATCGCTTTGCTGAAGTCGAGGAAACGTCGGCCAATGTGAATACTTTATAATACTGTCACTAAATTAGTATGGTCGTTAAAATTCGCGTTTACAACGCTTGGTTAGGTACACATGTAAAATCTGGTCTCTTCTGGCTGCAGATGTGCGATGAGTCTGTTTTCGATAGTCGCATAGAGCGACTTGCATCCAGTGGTACCCGTTTGGAAGAAGTAGCAATTGTCTTTCAGTAGCTGACGACATCTTAGGATTCCCGTGGCTTGCTTGATGAATGTTACTTCTTTCATTTTTGCAGGGTCTCATTGAACTCCGATCGTTTTTTGTCCTACAATGTGTGTGCGCGTGTACCTGAATGGAATTTATGCATTTATCAATTTCTAAGTATGTCCGTTCTGCGTTTGAAGATGGAATCTTGGAGTGTTTCAGCATTATGTTGGCTCTTTAGCTCTATGGAAGGTAGAACTATGCAGTCATTTTTGAATAGAACACCAAAATGTCTGTTAATTGGAGGATTAGAGTCAAATACATCATTAAGGCTGTGACCTTGTCATATGTCTCCTTACCCGTTCAAGGATATGTGCTAACCACTTCGCAATCTGATGATATGGTGAGTTGACTCCATGTCTATAATGTGTCGAAGTGAGACATCCTTCTTATGCACTTCAGGCAATCCATATTGTCTCGGCATAAACTGAATTGCATGGTTTTGTTTGTTCATACATCTATGTCATAATTGAATTTTCTTTCATTTTATTCAGTAATTTTGCAAGGAGGTTTTCTGTTCGTCTCGGTTGGGTGATTTGAAGAATTTGGTATTCGTCTGATAGTACGTTTGTTTGTTTCTCGACATTATCTGATTTGTTCAATGCAATTCCCCTAAATCAGGCCAGACAAGGATTATGTCTTTATTTTCTTGAAGTTGTTTTCTGCCTCTCTTCGTTATCAGATAATAATGACTGAGTCGTGCACGCATGTACTTGTAGTGGCTGTCGAAAATTGCTCGAGATGTTTGTTTTTCAGAATTAGGTGTGACAAATCAAATATCTGCAAAGTTCGATTCTCGAACTGAACTTTGGTCTGTAATTCGTTGATATTTCTCAATACATCGCAAAATTGTGGACCAAGTGATTGCACTTGGAGTTGGATAAGGCGTGAGAGATATAGTTGAACAATTGAAGACGTGTTTTCCAGGATTCTGCGGAAACTATGCGACACTGGTTCAGTGTGTGTCTATAATAGCGGGAAATGGCAGTGTGATGCAGTGTTTAATACTGCCGACGAGTAGAGTGCCTTGCGCTGATTAAGGTACTCTACTCGTACTCATGCAGCCAGGTGAGGGCTCACGGGGAGTTGTCATCTGAAGTGGTGACGACTAGTGGCGTCCGTCAAGGACGCCCATTATCCCCATTTCTATATAATTTCATCAATAATGTACTAATGGAATTAACCCTAACTGACTACAGCGACTCAGGGATTGACTTGTTACCATCAAGGAATAATCTCGTTGACTTAGAATATACAGATGACACAGTCCCCTCAACTAGGTGAAGACGCTGACAAAATGCAGTCTTCTGAACACCTTGAGTAGCAATCTACGAATGTTTGGCATGCTATTCGCTCCCGCCAAATGTAAGACGATGCTACAGGACTGGACTGTATTGACGCCTAACTTCGAAATAGGCAGTGAACTGGTAGAGCGCGTTGACCATTTCACTGATTTCGGGAGTTACATCAGCCCCAACTGGTTGATCACTGACGAAATCTCAGCATGAATACAGGAGTCTCGTTTCGCATATGCCAGTTTACGGCGTCTCTGGCGTAGATGTGATATCCGGCTATCGACCAAAGGGCGTGTGTACTGCTCAACAGTCCGCTCCTTCCTCCTCTATGGCTGTGATACCTGGCTGTTGAAAGTGGAAGACATGAAAAGGTTAGCTGTCTTTGATCAGAGGTGCCTGCGTTCTATCTCCCGTGTGAATTGGTATAATAAGGTGAGCAATATTGAGGTTAGGCGTTGGTCGAGTGCTAGGTAAGGAGGGGAAATCAATCGACGAGGTTGTGAAGTTACATCGACTGAGATGGTTAGGACATGTGTTACGTATACCTAGTCATCGCCTTCCTCGACGGGCAATGTCAGCTGACATAGGATTGGTCAGGCTGGAAAAGAGCTGGCGGCGGTCAAACCAAAACATGGCACTAGTCAATGAAATCTACAACAGTTAGTCTAAGCCACGTAGGAAGATGTAGACTTCCTGGTTGGGGTCCTCGGGATGGTAAAAACCAATGGTTGGAAACAATTGGTGACATGGCTCAAAATTGTTCTCAGTGGCGCAGATGCATCCACTCCTTGTGACTCATGATTTCCAATGAAACTGTTTTATTCTTCATTATTACTATTCCTTTGTCTCACACCTCTGTTTACTGTCTCTGATATGCATTTCTCCTACTTTATTCTCTTGCTTTGTGTGCTACATGAAGGGAGTGTGGCAACTTGAACTGCTGCACATATGTGCAAAGTTCTATGTCGAAAAGCGACCGACCGCCGACATCTGCATGTTAAGATACCGGTTAAATTTGATGCAGCTAATAAGTGAGGATAGATTAAGATTCTTTTAGGGTATTAAGAGTGGGCGTAAAACTCATTGAATGAAGCATTTGACTGGACTACTGTGCTATAATAGTAATATTCTACGAGAATAATAAAAGGATCGTCAATCAAATAAGACATCTCATAGATTTTCAGGTTGAATAAGTTGGGAACTCCCAAAGAAGCATGCCTCGGACTACTCAGTATGTGCTAGTACGCGTAGGTTTGTGAAACTATTATCCTCCATTGTTTCTCTTTCACTGAGTAGTCCTGTGATAACTAAAAATGGGGACTTTGGTTATCAGTTTTCAAGATTTTGGAGTATATGAGAAGGCAGTGTACAACTGGGGTAGAAGAAAAGTTTCTTGCCAGCTCAGTGGTTGATTAGTCCAAACACCTTTTCGACAGCTTCTAAAGTGTAACTATTCATCCTTCGGACACCTGTTTAATTTCCCTTACTCTATGCTATCATTTGATTTTGTTGACCGAGAGGTAGTCTGATACTGCGAAATATTGGTGGGATGACCAGTGGTGATCACTAATTAGAACCTAGGTAAACGCAGCAACTCCCAGGCTTCGGAACCCGCACCTTCCCGGTACAAGGGGAGGTCGTAAACCACTCAGCCACTACAAGCTGACTCAGTTGCCCGAACTAGGACTAGGCAGCTGTCCAGTACTTCCTGCTGGTTTTCAATGGTTCTCTAACTGATATCAGTATCCGTGATCAACCTTGAAATAAATCAAATCCCTACAAACTAACTCTTGAAAATTCATCTAATGCTCGCTGGTGACTGGCTACAAGACGAAGTTGTGGTGAGAAGTCGTGACCAGTGGGGCTTCTCTCCGATTGAGAGTGCGGAGATTTAAAACATGCAACAAAGGTTAGTAGAGCAGGATTTAGTGATTTCATCATTATTTCGGTAGAACTCTTCATCTGAATACTCTCCATACCCTATTAGAAATACTTTGGGAGATATACAACTAAGACGTATTCAGCGAAGAAAACTGTCTTTTCAACGATTCATTTTCACAAGCTGTACAGCAGTCGTAATTATATTTAGCAAAGAAATTATAAGACCAATCAGATACTGGTAAAATTTGTCTTCGAAAACGTATTACGTAATGTAAGGTGTGATCTAGAAGGGGTGACTGATTGGAAATTAGAAAAGGGGCAAAAGTTGGCTTGACGTTATAAGTGTGCGATAATGACTCATCAATAAGATTGTGTAGAATGGACAGGAACTAGTGGAAAGACGATAAAGTGTTTAGAAGAATGTAAAATCTGTATGAAAAAGCAATTTTATTCATAAACAGTAGTAGAGTGGTAATAAAATATGGATAACGATGGGAATTATAATGATAATAGTAAACTTACACGATAAAAAGAAGCAAAATCATAGTAAGAACGTTATTCTGGTCACAGTAGGGTGAGTGGATGCATGTGGTGCTTCTGAATGCAGAGATCCAGTTTCAGATTACCGAGTATCCAGTCTAACGTTAAGGATAAGATACCGCTCTTGGCGGTTCCCAGTGGGAGATAGGGCTTTGAAGTTTCAGTACCAGTGATGTCTCTTTACCGGGTAAGGTTGCTAGCCTTACGCCCGACCTTCCCTCTTTGCCTGTCATACTGTGGTGAGAGCTGTCTGCTAGCCGAAATTGGTAGACAGCAATTTACGTCAATTTTTACGTCCCATATCTTGGTCATGAGAAAAAAACAAGAACAAAGACTAACTCAACAACCCATTACAGCAGACTTAGCGTGGGCGGATACGAGTAGCAGATATATCAACGGACTGTCTAAGAAATAACAGAATAACCTTCAGCAGGAAAACAGCGAATCAGAAGACGTTGCTTCTCTGCTAACAATAAATATCTCTTGATTTTCTCAATAAACGACCTGTTGCCTGGCCCTTGTATTCTGTTGTTACAATACTACCGGTAAAGCGAGGTAAAGGAGTGCGCCAGCCAGAGGTCGGATCCTGGGCCACTTGCGTAGTTGGCCAGTGTTCTACCAGTGAACCGACGACGCACCGAGTAATGTTAGTAATAATAATGTTGAAACGAGTTAAGATAATGCTACTGATAGAAGATAGTTTTAAATGAATCAGGAATAGTAATAATAAGAGGTAGAATAAAATATTATTACTAATAATAACAGTTAATAAGTAGAACATATTACTATGGTAGATTCATAGTGGCCACCATTTCCATTTGTACACGGAGACCTAGTTTATAAGCTCTAAGGAGAGGTGAAAGTAGTTGCGGAATTCAAGACGAGCTGTTACGTAATCAACGAATTTATAAAATAATTATGACCAAGGAGAATTACATAAGGATACCGATTTGTAAACAAGTTAAATGAATTAGCTAGAATAGTAATCAAAATAAAATATAGACAAATGATAGTGACAAAGGGGTGGGGATAATCACTTATAAAACTTAATGCATGTTATGAGAAAAGGAAAGGAGCTGCACAAATTTCTTTTGAACACACAGAACTGGCTTGTTCATCAGATGACTTCAAATGGCTCCTGCTGAATGTAAAAGTCATGCTTGTAGAGCAAGCGAAACAATGGGTGAAATGCGATAAATAACTTTGAAAGCTTTGTCAAAGTCAGCCCAATGTCCGGTATAGATGAGATGAGCTAGAATTGAGTTGCGTACAGCTTTATTCGAAGCTTTTGCCTAACGAAGATGCGAGGTGATTGTACGCTCTCCGTCAAAATTTGGATATCTTGTCGATTGGCCATCTGTTGCTAACATCTACTAATTAATTAATTTGATGATTTGTAATCTCTTGTTTTAATATATATCCATATCACAACAGAATAATCAGATCAGAAGTTTACCTATTTTGTGTAACTAGTAGAAGCCATCCATAGCAGGATGACTGTATTTACAATATTACTATGAAAATTGCATTGCATTAATATTTCTTTAAGTTTCTGAAAGTACGCAGTACGAGGCAAAGATGCGGGACCCGATGGAATGACTCCAGAGGTGTTCAAGGACGGTGGAGACAGTTTACTGTCTGAGTTAACTAAGGTACTAGACAGAGTCTGGGAATCAGAGGAAGTCCTGTTGGGCTGGTGTAAGTCATTGATTATCCCGATATACAAGAAGAAAGATCAATCACAGCGGGGACCAGCTTCACCAATATGGTATCTTAAGTTCTAGGATCAGTAATCATGCGTACATTAAGTGGTGTTCGGAGAAAAAAACAACAAGAAAACTAGACAGACTTCAGACCACGAAGAGGTTGAATTGATTATATCTTCACCCTTCGACAGATTCTGGGACATAGTCATATCCACCGGCGTCCAGCAATTGTCATGTTTCTTGACCCAAAGGTGGTATTCGATTCCGTCGACCGAGAGGCAGTATGAAAATATTTGTCTGTGAAGGGAATGCCGATAAAATACATTGCACTAAACTCTAACTCATGAAGTCAGCCAAGTGAGAGTTGTCATCTAAAGTAGTGACAACCAGTGGTGTCTGTCACGGATGACCCACTATCCCCATTTCATCAAAGATGTACTAAAGAACTTAACCTTAACTCACTTCAGCGACATTCACGGACTAACTTGTTAACAGGAAATAATCTCATTGACTTACAATACGCAGATGATACAGTCCTCCCAACTAGGTGAAGACGCTGACAAAGCCGAGCATAGTCTTCTGAACACCTTGAACAGCAATCTAAGAGTGTTTAGCATGCGACTTGCTCCGCCAAATGTAAGATGATGTTACAGGACTGGACTACACTGACTCCTAGCTTAGAATTAGGGAGTGAAGTGGTAGAGCGCGTTGACCACTTCACTTATTTGGGGAGTTGCATCAGCTCCAATGGGTTGACCGCTGATGAAATCTCAGCACGGACACAAAAGATTCGTGTGGCGTGGACGTGATATCCTGCTGGTAATCGATCAAAAGACGTACGTAATGCCTAGCAGTTTGTCCAGTCCTCGTTAATGGCTGGCTGTAAGACTTGTCTAGCAGTCTCTAACCATAGGTGTCTGCGTTGTATCTGCCGTATTAGGCGGTATAATAGAGTGAGTAATATTTAGGTTCAGCTTCGGTCGAGTGCTAGGTAAGGAGGGAAAATCAATCGACGAGGTTGTGAAGTCACATCGATTGAGACGGTTAGGGCATGTTTTACGCGTGCACCCCTAGTTGTCCCCTTCCTCGAAGGACAATGATAGCTAACTTAGGGTTAATCAGGTTGGAAGAGAGAAAGCTAGAGGTGGTCAAACAAAAACATGGCATCATCAGTCAATCAAATGCACAACAGTTAGTTTAAGCCAGCCACATATGGCGGTGTAGAATGCTTGGTTGGTGGGGGTCCTCAAGATGGTAAGAACCAATGGTTGGAGAAAAATTTTAATATGGTTCAAAATCGTTCTCAGTGACAGCGCAGATGAATTCACTCTTTGTGATATGTCATATGCAATAAAACTCTATCATTCTTCCATATGACTGTTCTTTTTCCTTCACCCACAACTCGAACCGCTGTACATCTGTGCTAAGTTCTGCGTTGAAAAAAGTCAGGCATTCAGCCAAAAGTTTTTAACTTATATTTTGATGATTGTTTCAGGTCCCGTATGATTCGACAAAGCTTTTAAAGACAAGAGATATCTTTGATATACATAGCTTTGTTATATTGATTTCCCTGAGGAAGTTCAGACCAGTTTGGCCAACACAGGGAACGTTGGAACTACTTATGTGTCAATTTCTCTGGGATTTTACAAATATTACTTTTACATATGTCGACTTCTACACCCAACCCCCACTCCCGGAGACTTTTATACGTTGCCATCCAACTTAGAGAAAAGAGAATAACAGTCAATTGTTGTTTTAAATCACCTTACCACATATGTGTTGCCGTTCATCTAAACGTTGAACAACACACGCATCAGCGCTGCATATCTGTAGCAGTATTCATCACCTTCGAATGTCAACTACACACCATGAGACTATATACTAACTTTCAAATTGGCAAGCACATCATAACACATAAAAAATATCAATGTACACAAATCAGATACAACAAGAAGGGATATTTATAATTTCTATGTATCTTTTTTTTTACCACAAAATATGCAAAAACAACGAACAGATAAAAGAAATAGCACAGAGAATAGTCGAGAGTATGTTGGAGTGATTTATAACAAAATTAGGTTTCTACTCACCAAGTAATAATAATAATAATCACAATAGTAGTTTCTAAGGAAAGAAAGGCATTTCTGGCGATCAATCTATTATTTTTAAAAAAACACCAACATTGCCACGTAGTCTGTGATGGTGATGGAAGAAAATTTTATTTATCACGAAGGTTTACATTCCTGTGGTACTTCTCTGCATTGAACAATTCTTGAAGGTCCCACCATTCTGTCACTTGTACTAACACCAGTAGTAGTGGTAGTTGTAGAGTCTCCACCATTTCCCAGGGATAATTTGGCTGAAGTATTTTCTTCTTCTTTTCCTTTTTCTTGTGATTCAATTTTATTCGTCTCCACTTTATTAAGATCCTGATTTCTTAAATAAAGTTTATCAATTTCATCTAAAAGAAAGACAGAATGGACAAGGAAGGACGGTGTTGTGACACAATGCAGCAATATGCATATGAAGAATATAATCAGACCAAATTACCAAAGTATAACGGTGGGTCAGGAGTGCGGAAGCACCAGTAGCCTTGAACGCATACTACTCGTTCGATAACGAGACCTACTATTCACAACACAGTGTCACTTTGAACGCTGTGCACGGATAGAGGTGCAAATTTCATCCCGATCTCGATTTTAAGTACTGTTTGGACAATTTCTGCATAGCTCGTTAGTGCTACAGTCACGCTTAGGGTCAGTGTTGGAATCAGGGTTACAATTAAGATTGGGGTTAGTATTATTTATCTTTATTATCCACATTTGCCTAGTTAATAGTTATCGATCCTCTTAGTGGAGCCCATACTGATTCAATCGATGAAACCCTCCAACTAATCAAACACAATACCTCCCTACAAAACCAATACTTGAAAATTAATTAATCTGATGCTGACTAGCGACTGGCCCTATTTAGGCAGTTAACCTGTGGTTCTAGTGAGAAGCCGTGACCAGTAGGGCGCAACAGGTTGAAGGTGAGGCAATAACCCATCGAAGAAGACATTGCGAAGTGGTCGCGCTATGTCATGAATCGGTAGATGTTAGAATTCATGGGCTGGTCATTGGATCGGGTCCCAGTGACTTAATGGTCTACGAGCTCGCTGGCCTTATAACCAGAAAGTCATGGGTTCGAACCGTGGTAGTGGCTGCATACTGATGAAGAGTCCCAGATTAGGAAGAAACAACTGTCCAGTACTCCCAGCTTTTCCAATGGTTCTCTAACTGATGTCAACTTATGACGAAACCCTCCAACCAATCAATCGAGGTCTTTTGAGGAAGAAGACTAACAAAATAGCATAAGAGGGATAAATGGGTCATAATATGAACTCGGCTTCAATCACCTTGGTGAATACATGCATACAGACTGATCTAGCCTGAAAACTGATACTCTTCATTAAAATTTGGAGGTATTCTTGAATCATGTGAGGAAAAAATATCCTGCTTAATAATGTATTCTCATGTAAACAAACATCATATTTATATGCAAAACCTAATATATTTCCTGATTGGTCGGCTCAAGGTCACTCGTGCGTTCGCATTCGCCTATATTCAAATCATAAATGTGTAACTGTTATGTGATCAAAACTCTACAGCATATACTCGACAATATGCATGATATTTTATAAATTCTAACTACTCTTTTGTTATGTTGCAAGTGCACAATGCAAGAAAAACAAACTTTTGTGAACGACGACAATAACATTATTCCTACCTACTTCCATCACAGTGGTTAAATCGAGTAAATGACTGAAATTCAGTCAACCATGGGCAATCGCTTCATCGACTAGTTGTAAGTGTGATGTGAACTCCTCACCAAAGTGGAATTCATAATTTTCTAATTCCCCTTTTCATTATCCCCACGATCAGTTTCAGGAATAATCAACACGACACACACCAATTATCAGAGTTTATCACTCCTCCTCCCCCACCTCAACCTCCTTCTCGGCATTCAATACAACAATACAGTCGTCATTAGAGTGTGCGTGCATGTGTGTGTGTGTAGAGTTAAAATCACAATTATATGACTACGTGTAACCCCCCAAATATATACACAATATATTATAACAAACCTGAATCCAATGCATGACATTTCTTCGGCTTCGAATTCACAGCATTGGCGTTTTCATTACTACAGTGTTCTTCATTGTGTAAACTCGCAAGTTCACTCTGAAGTCCTTCAATTTCTGAAGACAGAGATGAATTCAAATATGCATAGTGCCATATTTCATCTCGAAGGTCACGATTCGCTAGAGCCATATCAACCAAACGTTGACGACTTTTCATTTGGCTTTCTACGGTTTCGTTAAGGGCTTGTTTTGAAGATCTACAGCGATTTCTATAGAGAAAAAAAATTATGAAAACGTTTAATATATATATATATTATTATTATTACCAAGTAAGTAACTGTCAACTCCGACATAGTATTCATTAAAGCAAAATAAAGTCATCACATTTATTATGGATTGACATCAACCATATGCGCACATATCGTGTCTTCTAGTCATTTCAAATGATGAACGCTCATCAACATACTTGTCTTACCTAACCTAACATCACCTGATTATTATTCACAACACAGTTCGACTTAACATGAACGATTGATACGAATAAAAACACGAAGGTCTAGTCTTAATGCAATTTACACTTTCAATATCTTTTATATAACAACCGTAAGTAAAGTAGGTCACACAGATGTGAACTGACATCAACGTCCTACGTAGTAGTAGTAGGAGTAGTGGTAGTCCTATTATCAACAAAACAACCAAAATCGCTTCAAGTACACTTCGGCACATACGGAGGAGACTGACGACAAGACCAAAATTATTCAAGAAACGTTTAAATGCTTTAATAGCCCTAACCATAACTAAACCAAAAATCTGGGTAGGGGTTCGAAGAAAAGATCAAATACCTAAAGATTCTTTACCTAATTGTGTCTATAAAATAAAAATGCTTGCTTGGAATGTGATGCGATATACCTCGGACAAACATCTCGAGAGATCAAAATCAGAAGAAATGAACACCGTAAAGCCGTCTCTGTTCGACCACCGAGAAATCCAGTTGAACTAGAAAGGCTTGAAAAATCATCAGCCATAGGTCGTCTACGCGCTATAGAATCAGGTCACAAAATTGATTTCGACAATATTGAAATAATCCAGAAACATTTCAGAAATAACAAAGAACGTCTAATATCAGAAGCCAGTACTTCATATCAAATGGAATCCAAATTGTCTGAATAGGAATGATGGACTAAAACAGAATTTAACCTAGTTACAACACCTCCCTCCCCTCTGAAATTACAAAATCAATAAGAATGTGATAAGCAATTACAATGAGACATATATCAAGATATACAACAAATCAACAAATACACTGGCGAACAAGTCACAACCATGTCATATAACCGTTGAATTTACCATTAAAACTCCTGCAATGTCACATTTTAGTGGTCAAGTCAGCTACTACAGCAGGTAGACAAATGAGATAGACTTTAGGTCCTAAAGATATCGGGTTTTCAACTAATTCTATCTCATCCTATCCCATCAACCAGAACATTCTCCCAATCACATAAAATTGACATTTCAGTGTAACAAATGAGTGGAGCTAATTGGAAGTTAATGTGATTGGCGGACACTCTGATTTCTTTGAGAGAACCTACTCGGAGGAATATTTGCGGGGAAAAATTGAACCAATTCAACTTACAAAATTATGAGATATCACTCACAGCTGGAGTAACATAACTCCTACAGACAAAAATAAGCACAACCGAAATAAGAATGAAAAAGAAGATAGCAAGGATCTTTTGTCCACTGTTCCATTAGTCTATCGCAAAACCTGTTATTCCATATTAGATAAGTTTATTTGAAATATCACACAGTGATGATGCAGTATTAACAACTGGATGATAAGGTGTCGAGCGTAAATTATTGCCACTCATAATCATATCAATTTTAGTCACACAACTTCACAATTTATCTTACAGATATTCTCTCTCCATTTTCCCCTTGTTGTCTGTTGCCACTTTCTATATCTCCAGTATAGACTCTGCATCATTCCGAATGCACGTGTGTGGTTTTCATTTAATCAATAAACAAAGTATCAGTGATTAACCTTTCTCTCTCTCCCTGTCTCTCTCCACCTAACTACAGTACTTTTTAATACTTTCACCCTGTCCACCCAACACGTATTGGATGATTTCAGTAATTTCCAAATTCCTATTTACCCATATACACACACTGTCCACATTGGATTGCATTAGTCAATGAATGGAACAAGAAAAAAATGTTAATAAAAAAAGATTATATATATATACATACATATAGTGCTTTGGTGGCATAGTAGTACAATGTTCGCCAACCGCGCCACATATGGTTCGGGGTTCGATCCCCGGCCACCAACGCACTCCTATACCTCGCTAAGCCAGTAATAAGACTGGTAAAGAGAGAAAGGTGGGCATGAGGCTAGCAACCCCATCCCGTAAAGATAAACACTGCTGCTACCGAAACTTCAAAGCCCTAGCTTGAAGCCCTATGTCCCAATGGGAACGTAAAGGAATATATATATTTATATTTATATACTTGCAACTTAGGCACTGTAGTGGTAGAGAATCCCATACTAAACTTTTCAACTGATATAGCAGGAAATGGAATGAAAGTAGATTCTCAAAATTGTTAACTGGAGTCAATAATCTACTCCGGTCACTCTCAGACGATACACTGACGGAGTGCCTATGATGATGTCACCAAAATCATTATCCAAGGCTCTTATACAGTGGGAATCAATCTGCTCCAGGATAATGACACCAAGATTCTACTCCATAGAAAGGACAATTACAATTACCCAATTCTACTCGCCCAAAACAACGCAGAGCGTCCTGTGAAGGAGAAGGAAGTCTTCTACAGACAACTGCGAGTAGTAAACCGCAAGACACCAAATGAAAGCATCAAAACTCTGATGGGCGATCTAAATCCAAACCAAACTAAGAGCAAACACAACTTGGGAAGATAACCCATCAAGGGTTGGGAGGCTTTCGCTCGGCTAAATGAAGGAGAAGTCAGGACCAGTCCCCGATTTCTGTACCTTCAATGATTTAGTCATTGGAAGTAGGGTGTACAAGAACAAGGACATAAGCAAACCGACATGGGTTTCACCAGACACTAGATACACCAAAAATCAGACAGACTTCATCGCAATGTTCTAAAGAAAGTGGAGATTCGTTCTCCCAGACACAAAGTTGAGAAGAGGAGGAGATTTGGCTTCATATCATCATTCGGGGACAAGTTGAGAGACTGAAAAGCAACTGGGAACAGACCACAATTCAAGTTCAACACTGAGAAATTGAAGGATAAAACTACAAAGGACACCTTCACTTCAGCCATCAGAGCAAAGCTAAAAAAAATTTTGTATCATCACCGAGGAAACCTGTGTGGAAGGACATTAGAACTCTCTAAATGCTATATGCAAGGAAACCTCTACAGACGTCTAAGGTAGAAATAACAGGCAAAAGAAAGGAATCATTCTCTACGGACTCCTGGAAGCTAATTAACGAAGGAGGGATAGTGAAACAGAAGATGAACTAATGCAGAGAAGAAGAATAACAGAAAGAGAAGCTGAATTCAACATACAACGCACTGAATAAAGAAGTGAACAAGAGTGATAGCAGAGACACAAGACAATTCTACGAAACACTGGCCGACAACTGAAGCAGAACAGGCAGGCTACAGGCAAAAGTGACCTCCGGACATTATATCAGATAACCAGGCTGCTCGCTATCCGGGAACAGATCAACACAGATGATGAAACAAATAAAAGGTAGCCAAGGGAAGCTGATGATCAAGGTGGAGAAGTAGAGGACACAATGGGCTGATCACTTCAAATGACTCTTGAACCGACCGTCACCTACAACCCGTTCAGGAATACTATCAACAGCCACAGAACTGTCAGCGAACACCAGTCCGCCAACTAAAGCAGAAGTGTTCAATGCAATCAAGCTACAGAAGTCCGGGAAAACTGCAAGACGGAACTTGAATACGGATCACCGAATAGAGTAGATCATGGCTGTCAAATGTCTACCTCAACTTCATCCACTCTGAAAAAGTTTTCGACAGCAAAGACTGTGAAATAATTTGGAAACTGTTTGAACACTATGGAGTGAAGCGTGCAAACCTTTATCAACCTCGAACATGATAACGCTACATATCAAGTGATTCACAAGAGAAAACACAGTGATGCCTTCGAAGTGAAGAGAGGAGTAAAACCAGGCTGATTACTGTCACTATTGAAATTCCTGATTGTGGCGGACTGGATTATTCCATGGACGGAGAGTGGGGAGGGGGAAGACAGTAATACGCTGAACCGATAAGAAAACTCTAGACGATTTACACTTGGCTCGAGTGGAACCCGTATGGGAAACCACGAGTGGGACGTCATTCCGAGGGTGACATGGTGCAGACCATGTGAGGACGAGAATATAGCCTCTAGGCAGCTGGAAACAACTTCACAGAAAAGAATGAAATGGAGTTGTGCTGTTCAAGCCCTATGTTCAACTCGATACCAAAGCAGATATTAATAATAATAACAATAGTTATTTTGAAGAAAACCTATCAAGTATTTGAAAAAGAGAAGACATTCAGCGAAGAGACTCTTTTCGGCGAATCCATTCACATAGCTGTACAATCGCATTTATATATAAATATTTGTGTGTGTACATGAGTTTTGTTTAGTTTAGATAATTAATTAGTTAATAGAAGAATGATGTAGTATAGAGACAAAGTTAATCAGACAGCAACAAAAGTAAGATTGAGTTAAAAAGCTAGATGACGTAATATAATTGGCTAAAATGTTACAATTTAGGTCAGGATAGCAACAGAGGTAATTACAGGTAGAGATTAATAGAAATGAAATTGAGTGAATAAGTTGGATGACGTAACATAAATGGCTAGAAACTGAGCGTTGTTCAAGTCAGTAACAGTGGTAGTGAGGTGTAGAAATTGAATCGGGTGGAGGTAGAGAACAAGAAAGTTGAAAATGTAAAAGGTTACAATTGAGAAGACAAAATAATACTAATGAAGAGACAGAAGAAAAGATTAGGTAGAATTTACATGTCGGCTAATAAGATAGATTACGTCCATTGCAAGTGTAGTGATTGAACGAACTTCTTCTGTATGCAGAGTTCAGGACTTAGCAAGTGAATCGCCATTGCTTCTGCAGTTTGAAGAATTCTGATTCGTACACCTTTAGGGAGACCACTTCTTACTCTGTAGACGACTTTGAAGTTTGTTTGCGGTGTAGCTTGGTGTCCGGATACTATCAGATGTTCTAAGATGGAACTGCGGGGGCATCGATTTTTCTCCTTTGTAAAACCATGTTGGTAAGTGCTCGGTGATACGTTTGGAAAGCGAGCGCTGGGTTAAATTTGTCTCTATACTACATCATTCTTCTATTAACTAATTAATTATCTAAACTTGACAAACCTCATGTACACACACACACAAATATTTATATATAAATGCGATTGTACAGCTATGTGAATGGATTCGCCGAAAAGAGTCTCTTCGCTGAATGTCTTCTTTTTTCATATGACTCAATGGGGATTTTCAATCTACTC